TTACGTTCCTCTTCGGCTACGGACTTTGCTGCACCCAAGAGTGTCATGATTATACCCGTCTGCGAGTTCACACCAACAGCGGTGATAAGCATCTATAACACTTGAGTTCTAATAACTGTGAAGAGGCGTGGAACGTAATATCGTACTTTTGCAGATCCTTCCATAACGTGTGTTCCTGAGAGTATTACTGGATCATGTTCGGGTGCTTTTCGAATCAAATCTGATTCTCCGGTCAATGAGGATTCGTCGATTTTGAGATCGTTCGACTGGATCAGGACACCATCAGCTGGTAGTAAATCACCTGAGATACAAGTATGTACACAATAAAACTTTCTCTCAATACTATTACATTCAAAAGCTCACCATATTTAATCTGAGCAACATCACCGACGACTAGTTCATTAACAACAACCTGAATCGACTGGCCTCCTCGAATAACGGCAAACTTGTGCTCGGTCTCGATTTTAGCTTGCAGTCCTGAAAAATATATAGTTTCTTTGTAGTTTATGAGGACTTCTACCATTCAATTTCTCAACTATTAAATTTTAACTCCTAATTTTCCCTCACCTCTGAATTGTCGTTCTTTGGTATAGTCATTAAGAGCAGTTACCAATACTACAACAATAACGGATATTAAAATAGCAACTCCTTCAATCCATCCAGCATCATGTTCACTGTCATCAATAGCAGCTGAAAAAATTCATCTTCAGAAACAGCTAGGATATTTTGATTTACACTCGATAGAACAAAGGCAGACTTTGAATAGCTTCTTTATTCATTTAATACTCTTACAAAGTCGACTTGCGGTACAGAAAAAAAATGCATAAATAGCTTCAAGCACAGCTATAAAATCAAAAATGCAGTCACCTCACTATCTGAGCCCCAAACTTGTTGAAAAACCTGAGAAAACAGCGGCTATTTATGAGAACCTTGAGAAAGTGAAATAAAGTTCATTTTGGTTGATGTTTCATAAATTCGTCAACACTCTTTTCTTCTCCACCACTATCGCCTA